ATATTATTCATCAAAATATAATACTGATTACCAAATGTTTAATTTCTAGCCCAGATTACTAATACTGTTATGGGGGCTAAAATCAATTCTAAAATATAAAATTTTAATTGAACTGCAATATACACTAAACACAATAATATATAGACCAAATTAGGAATGGAAACATGGCTGATATTGTCTCAAAAAGGTTTTTTTATTTTTTTAAATAATTAATGAAAGAAAATTTATAAACCACATAATAAATAAACCAATTGTACATTTACATTGATCAAAGTTAACGTAAATGTATTATCTTAAATATCCCTCAACATTTAAACTGAAGTAATAGCTGTTTCTACAAGCACCACTTTCTTCTGAATAACCAGAAAATGAGTTTGCAATTTGAAAATTAAGTTGAGGATTTAAAAAAAAAAAAAAAAACATAATTATATTTCTTTTAAGTAAATTAAATGTACAATAAGAAAAACAAAAAATAAGTGCATGCAAGCAATAAAATATTTGGCACATTACGTTATAAAATAATTGAGTTATCACGATAGAGAATTATTAAAAATATGGATAAAAAAATAGTTTTTAATCATAAGCAATAATCAACTCACAATGAGGAAAAAAAGATACTATGAAAAGAAATAATCTAAGTTAAAATAAATAAAACGATTACTAAACAAATATCCTTAAATAATTCAATAGAAAAATGCAGTAAATTTTTTGAAAAAAAAAATTAAACAGAAGACCGATTTTTTTTTTTTTTTTTTTGTTTCTCATGTGCATTTTTTTCAATATTTTGATTTCGGTACACTTCAATAAATAAAAAAATGAGAGAACAATGATTATTGTGCAATAATTATTGAAATATCCAATTAGAAAAAGTTTTAGGAAATCTCCCCACAAAAGAAAGTTTTAAAATAATAAACAATAACCGAAAGATTCAATCCCGTTTTCAACAAAATATTTTATCAATTCTGAAACAAAATGCCAGTAAAATAAATTTTTGAAAAAAATTATAAATATCTAGGAGATAGAATTTTTTTAAAAAATATAATGATTACTGACGATTTAAAAATCTAAGATCAGTATCACCTTAACAATAACCTATAAGTTTTTAAATAATTTAACAAACAAAAACCATAGAGCACATACACTACATAAATACAGCCCAACACAATGTATTAAATGCATAAGTAGCCAGTCTTATTTATAAACTAAAAGGTCACAAATTGTTTATTTTGTAATGCATAAAATGTATGTAAATAAAATATCTATTGTTTAAAACTTGTAACTCATTTAAAAGTAAGGAGAATTATGTAATCTTAACCTTGCAATGTTCTTCAATAGATTATAAATATATATATATATATTAAAGAACCTAAAAAAAAAATTTTATTTCCAGAGCAAATAATTTTTTTAAGTCATTTTAGATTCATCATTTGAAAAAAAAAAGATAAATAAGGTATCAGAAAGTTTATTGTGTGTAAAGTTGAACATTGCAAACATTTTTACTTCGAGAAAGTGCAATAAATAAATCATCTTTCACATATTTTTTTTCCTCGTAATTAATAATCTAATGTAAAATATATATGAGTTTGAAAAATGAAAACTGAAGTAAAAAGGTAGATAAACAAGACTAACACAAACTTATGAAATAAAATCAGAACACAAAATAAAAATAATACTTTTTTTCAAAAAAAATGCAAAATGGCTTAATTGAAAATAGTCACTACAAAAAAGTTATATTGATACTTTTTATCAAAGTGAAGTATAATTATGATTCAAAAACTACTATTAGTAGCATAATTGCATGACCATTATAAAGTAAATAAAATACTTAATTTCAAATGAAAGCATCATATCTAAAAATCATTTGTAGGTAGATATTTAGCATTCCTTGATACCAGACCTTAAAAACAATGTCTTTTTTAACATTTAAATACATTCAATTTCAAATAGTATAATTGTTAGAAAATATATCTATCATTCGAGAAGTTTTATCATAATTACGAATATAACAATCAATTAATATTATTTGTATCATTAAAACTTTTGAAGATCTCTATAAAAACAGCAAAAGGTTATATGTATGAAAGGAAGTGTGAGCTATGCTCTGATATTTATGAAAAAGCTGTCATATAAATGCACACATAATGAACATTGCAGGTTACAGTTAATAGCAGCTATGTAAAATTCAAGGCTACTACTTATCTGGAATAAAATAAAGGTGGTGTATATAATTAAGTCACAGAGAAAATCTCTTCTGAAGTTTAGTCTTTAAGTTAGTTTAAAATTTCTAAATGTACAGGTCTCATAGCGTTCAAAATAAAAACAAGAACAACAGTTTTAAAGAAAATCAAGACATTTTTAGTGCACTTACATTTTAGACTATTTTTAAATAGGGGAAATGAAGAGATAAAAAAGTAGCATAATGTGTAATCCACTGCCTTGAAAATTTTATTTTACACAGTAAATTTCTTTAATTCTCCACAATACTTCCTGTAAAAAAATAATAACGTAAGTAAACAGAACATTTTCAAATAAGAAATTAAAATAGGAACAGGTTGATCAGAAATAATTTAAAAAATGAAGAAGAAAAAATTGTGATTTCCTGTATGTGTACATATGGTGAGAAACTTTTGGAGTATGAATGACTTTGGAAATAGATGACTTTGCTCTTTGTAAGTAACCTATGAATGAGACACCAGCTATCATAGCCTTGGGGTCAAATGCCTGTTCCTGGACTTATAATATTTGTCCATCACTACATACAAACACCTTAAACAGATGAATCGTTATAATTTTTAAAAGCTGATATAAGAAGGCTAATTTGTGAAAAAGTTCGATTGATAATATCAGTAGCTTTTGGCTGATGCCCTTTCAAGTAAAGAAAGTGAAACGTAGCATTTTTGGCATATTTCACTTTTTTACAATCAAAGAGGTAAAAATGCTGTGCAAACAAAAAGAAATTTATCTGATGTGTTTGAAAAAGGTGTATTAATGCGAGTGCCAAAACTGGTTTAAAAACTTTTGATTTGGCAAAATTTCGATTAATATGCGTGAAAATGCACTTCCCCAAATTAGGTTGATGTGGACACCATAAATACATTCATTGATGCAAACTGGTGAATAACAACTTGTTATACGCTGAGAGATTAAATTTGTTGAATTCGACTATTTATGATCATTAGGTTTATTATCAAAGCTCAATATGTGCATTCCTCATGTTTTTATAAAAAAATTTTGTGCTGTCACATTAGACGTCTATGATTTTCTTTTCAAGCGTAAAGAAAATTATCCATTTTAGAAGGGCATCAACCCGGTAGATAAGAATTGGGTTGTCTATAATATTTGTTCGAGCCTCTACAAAAAGTTTTAGGTGGTAATACCTTTACTTCAAATGAGATCACTTGGATTAATTTTTTGTCAGGAAAGATCAAACATTTTATGAGTTAGGAATCATGCTACTGCCACGAAGACGGCAAAAGGTATTGGACTAGAACGGACAATATGTAATTGAATAAAATCTTTACTAACTGTAAAAAAATCGTCTTTTATTTTCACAAGGAATAAATGAAATCACTTTCCGAACAACCCAATATATGTTGGTTGTTCAGTCTACCACCAGGTTCAATCTCACAATCCATCGCTATCTGCCAGTGGTGAAAGTATGCCCTAAAGTGGTGAAAGTATGCCCTAACCTACTGCACGATCGGATCATTTATTAAATCTCTGTTTAAACATTATAGCTAAATGTGCAAAAGATACATGGAGATAAGGGCTTCAAGAATTAGAATAATGTTGATGATGTAAGAATTGTGATGATTCTGGTTCTGAAAATCTAATTGATGAACAAATAGTAGAAAGATAATTTGGTTTTGTTTAAGAGGAAAGGGAGGAAGAATAAAAGGGTAAGACAAATAAGCTATGATATAGGCAATATTATTTAATATCTTAACAATGTATCACATTGCGACAAAATATTGTTTAAAAAAATTCAATCACAAGTGACAAAAAGGTGCTTTAAAGTGAAAAAAAACAAAAAAAGTCAACAACAGATTTTTTGTGAAAAATTTAAATAAAAAACTTATGAAGAAAAATTCTATGCAAGTACCTTTACTTAAATATTGACCCTTTAAGTATCTTAAGAATTGCTCAAGTTTGTTTTTGTATTCCAATTGTCATTTTAGTCGTTTTTTGGATTGGGAATAGTTTTTGCACTACTCAATTTTAAAGATAATTCTAATGGGAATCTTTGCTATGAGGAATAATTTTTTTAACATGAATAAAATGGGAAAGGGCATGTCAAATTATCTACCTATTTTTTTTATTTTGTTTTGTTATTTCTTAGCTCAAATCCAGAAGTTTTATTTTCCCATGATATTTAAAGCGCCAGATATTTATATAAGATGTACTTAATTTGTTTAATTTTAGCCACATTTGAAAACTTTTCTGTACAGGTGAATTTGGCTGTGAGACAATACAATAATGTCCTCTATTGGGATAAAACGAAATTACTTTCTGAACAACCCAATGTATGCAGAAAAGTGCATGTTAAATCTGTCATGGCTGAAAATTCTTTCACTAGAGTTAAAGTTCGAAGAGAAGAGTATTAACTCAGGTTCTATTTATATAATCTGATTTTGATTCATATAACATAGCATTCCTTCATGGCTATTAAAAGATGGAGCCCTGAAAAATGTGGCTAAGCACTTGTGCATGGTTGAGTGGTATGTAAATTTCATTAAAAATACTTATCCCGTAGTTGTTAATGTCCTTCCATATCTACTTTCAAACTATAATGTTTATCATTACAAAAAAAAAAAGATAACCAGGAAGTTTACCTTATATGTATGTTATAAATTAACTATAATGACGACTTATGTGTTATTCCTCACAGCACAAAATATTTTGCCACCACTTTTTGTTTTTCCTCCAGTAAAGTAGCAGCTCAGTAAATATTTAAGAGTATATAATCTCCAATAAAAAGAAACACATGAGATTCAAACACAGATAAGCATTGATACATTTTTACACATAATACACAATTTGATCACAAAGTATGGCACCACAAGATTATAAATATTGTAGAGCAGAAGAACAGTTATAGCTATGATCCAAAACAATAACTTCAATAAAGCAGTTTTGTATATATCTAAAAAACATAATTACGAAAAATGTCAGGTTAACTAGACCTAAGTGAGGTCAACATTATGTCTTCTGGAATAGAGGGTGTTTTGCTTGCACAGGAACGTGTAATTGTAATGAAAACACATATTAAGGTTGCAAGGAAGCCAAATACCTGAAAAATTCAATGATTAAAACAAAATATAATAACAAAAAAAAATAAGCAAGAAGATCGAATTTATGTTTTAGAAAAAGTAAAACACTAATTAAATTTTTCACCAAACAACAGTGAACTTACAGCAGCCAATGATAACTGTAACTTGGTCCATTCAGAAATTAATATTTCTGCATTGCGAGCAAAATGTTCAGCATGAAGAAGCATTGCTGAGGTAAAGAGTAAAAGGGCACATAAACTTCCATGGAGAGCAGCGTCCTAAAAGCATTAAATAAATAACCTAATTAATTAAGTACTGATTATGAATGCAAATGTTCGTAAATGGAAGAGTATGATTATAATATACTTTTTTTCCCTGAAATTAATGACAAAATTAAAAAACAAATTAAAAGACAGTTTTACCCTTTGAACCTCATCTAAAAGCATTCATAAAATTTTTACGTTTCATGATTTAAAAAGTTCCCAATGATTGTTAAATTAATTAACCATTAGATATATAAATGTAAATAAATAACTAAAGATACATAAATGCAAATAAATTTCAGATTTCTTTACCAGCTTTACCCAGCACGAAAATTAGATTTTTATTTTGGTCAAATTATTTCATTTTACTAACAAAGGAAGTATGCATCTAAAAAGTTCCTATCAAAACAAAATTAAATTAAAAAACCTGGGTGAAATCTACAAATTAGCCATCTGATCTGCCCCTTGGATAAAATAAGCTGGCTCATTTACTTTTAAACTAACAAAACTTTCCAGCTCATGTGCATTTGTGGGGTTAACAGTTAGGCTGTATACCTTATACTAAAGAGGTCCAGAGTTCAAATTCCAGCTGAGACATTTGAATTTTCACTCTAATTTTCTTTTCTAAAAAAATTGATAGCTATTAAATATAATTTATTCAATTTAAATTTTTAAAAACAAAAATTAAGTATTTAATTTTTCTATTCTTTAATTAAAATATATGGATCATTTTTTAAAAAAATTACAAAATTTTAATTTAAATTACAATTTTAAAAAAAATACAAAACTTTAATTAAGTTTTAAATTATAAAATTTACAATTCAAACTAATCTTAAATTAAAAATTTAAACCTTAAATTATAAATTTGAAAGAATTACAGAATTTAAACTAAATTTTAAATTACAAATATCTTAAAAAACATTGTAATTTAAAACTTAAATTACAAGATTTTTTAAAAAAATTGTTATTAAAATTTAAAAATTTTTGATTTAAATTAAAAGCTTGTAAACTTTTTAAACAATACATTTCATTTAAATAAAAAATATAATAAAAATCAATTATTCTTTTTTTAATTCTTAAAAAATAGAGGAAAAAAATTATTAAAATTTAAAAAAAAAAAAGATTTTTAACCTAACCATTAAATAACAAATCATGAGAAAGTGCTGTTAGTTTAAAAGTAAATAAACTTAAATGGGACATGTTTTACCTTAGAGGCAAATCAGGTGGCCAATTTGTAGAGTGTCTGAAATTTTCTTCAACTATGCTCTTTAATTTAAGTTTAATTTCGTTATAATAGAAATTTCACAGATGTATACTTCCCATAAACAACTTTACCATACTAGAAGTAAAAATATCTGATCTTTACCCAGCTTGGTCTACTTCAATAGTTTTTTTTTTATTCAAATCGACACGAAAACAATTATAAATTAGATAAAAACAACTAACACAATAATGACCAAGCACATGGCTTACAAACCTCCTTTGTAGAAAGAATGGTTTGGAATTTAATCCTTAAGATACACTGCTTTTCTAGACTAAAATATTAGACCTTTATCTTTGTATTTAAATCTTACCTTTGCTCAGCTTGATTTACTTTGATAATTTTTAAATACTAAATTCAAATCAACACAAAAACAATAAAAATTAAATAAAAACATTTTTTTTTCTATACTTAACACATTAATGACCAAGCAGATGCTCACAAACACAAGCCTCCTTGGTGGAAAGGATAATTTCGAATATAATACTTAGAATAATAGTACTTTATTAAAATAGTCATAAGTCATATTTCAGTAAACATAAGACTAGAATTTTATAACTCATGAAGGTTGAATTTTAAATTCCTACTAATTACATATTCTTTGTAAAGGGTGGAATTTCATAATCTTTTTACAAAGGTCGAACTAGTCTGATTCATTAACAGCACGTGTCTAAATGGTAAAATATACAGCTTTGAAAAAAATATATTGAAATAGTTTTTCTTTTTTTTCTTCTAAACTTTAGACAGGCACCTTTACTATTGAGAAAGCGTAGCCATAATTTGGCATGTAATTAGCATTTCATGAGAAAATCTCGTTAAATACCAATTACAAAACCTGTGCCAAAATGTTCACTTAGCTTAGGTTAGAATCTAGAATTTGCAAATGAGAAAATAAAAATAAATAAAGAAGGACAAAAACAAGAAGCATCCAAGCAGATATATTTTAACTATAGCATTTCACAGGAACAAGTACAATTACAAGAAAATCTCTTTTCAAACTTTTTTAAAAAAGTCATTGACATCTTTTAAATACATTTCTGGATACTTTATCAATCAATAATAAGGAACAAACAATAATAACTAGCCAGTGTTTTCACTACAGCGCGAGAATCTCACATATTTTTTTCCTTTCTCGCATTAAAAAATTATTACCGAGAGAAATTCGCACATCCTATAAATCAATTTCTAAATTTGCCAATTTCTCGCATTTTGGAAAAAGCTTCGAATTACGCCATTTAAAATAAAATCCGTTTCACTTTTCTTCCTGGACCTTTCATTATTTTCAACATCTGCCCCATTATCTAGCTTCCCTATTTACAAGTATTGTTCAAAACCTTTTCGAACAACAGAACACAGCCACGGAACCCCTTTCAGAACACATTTCTCTGCAACCACGTGCTTACAGAAGGTAAGGTTTCTTCATGTAAGACGTTAAATTTTTTTTTTGCACTTATGTAAGATGGACAAATACCTTGTAAAGGCAAAATCTTCTATGATGATGCACCAAAAATATTCAATGCTTTAGGAAATAGAAGACGTTAAAAATGTATTATAATTAAAGAAATGATTTTCTTTCAAGAGTTTTCGTGTTTTTTTAGTTTTTAGAAATCTCACTTAACTTTTTGAAATCTCACCCTGTTTTTGAAAAAGGGTGAGAAATTCTCACCCATTTTTTTTTTCTATAATGAAAACACTGCTAGCAAATAGAGCAAACAATATAAAAACAAAATAATCACTTACAATAATATTCCAATAGACTGGAAAGCTTTCAATAATGGAAGTAACCCCCAGAATAAAGAAGGAAAGTGACAAAAGAATTCCAAATACTGTAACAAATATATGTGCACGGATAGATGAAGAGAATGGCATATCCAAAACGTCTGAAGAAACCTCTCCAGCATTTGTAACGCAGCCTAAACTTATAGAGCAGCATGTCTATATGAAACACAAAATATTTTATTAAGTATAATAACATTTTTAAATTACATACAAATATTAAAACTTCAAAGGTTAAAATCTAAGAAGGAAATGTAGATTGGCCACTTTCCAAAAAAAACTTACAGTCTCAAGAATCAAGCAAACATGAAAATTTCCAGGATTAAAATAAAGACATTTTTAATCATAATTTAAAAAATTACATAAATGTTTTGATTTACATTAAGAATTTAAAAGTCAATTTAATTTTTTTTAAATCGTTCAAATTTTCGATTTAAATAGTTTTTTTTATATCATAATTTATCCTAATATTAAACAATAAACCTTCATCAAATAAATTTCTCATGTAGTAAATGGTGACTGGGGCATGCTAAATCTGTCAGGTCACAAAATCCATGTTCTTATAACTAATTAATAACTTCGAGAATTGGAGATTGATCATTCTCTGGTGTAGCTCAAAACTATGATATGCGGATTAATAAATGACTGTATGAATGAATCTGCCCTATAAACGGCTATGGTGTGTATGAGGCTGAAGTCATATTCTTCGTCATAGATGGCGCCACTGAAAAAAACAGAAACGCACCATTTGCCTTAAATTCGCAAGGTTCAACCAAGCAGACTTGCTGGTATATAGCAAATGGCATTAGAAACAACAAATAAATTCAATATTAGTTTTATTATCTCGTTGACCATTTTCGCCAACATCACACTTAAGTCATTTCAGAATCTTTCAAATTTATTTTTGCATAATAGTGGATCATAAAGAAATAGACAACATGCAAATCTAATTTATTGCACGAAGAAATTACGAAATATTTAAATTTGAGTTACTTTCAAGTTCTTTAAAGATTTGACAAAAATGGTCGACAGAAAATACTTAAGTACCATTTTATTTATAGCTTCAAATACAGATATTTTTAAAAGGCTAACATTTTTAATTTTAAAAAAAAACTAATTTGAAGTTAAAAAAGTGCTTGTTCAGTAGAAAGTAGAAAATCAACAAAGCAAGTAAGCATTATTATGTATATTACAATAGCATTGAAGACTAGAAAAACAAATGATAGGACCTTGGAATAAAGTTTTATGGGATAAGATTGATTATATAAAATAGTTTGATTATTAATACATTGATACAAATTCTTGATAAAGTTGTGTGTGAGCATTATACTAGGCATATTTAAATATGGTTTCCTGTGAGCTCCAACTACCTTCGCCAATGCACGAAAAGATTTTATAAGCATCAAAAATTATTAATTAAAATTACATTTTTAGTTTAGGGATAGCTACAAGTTGTACCCTTCAATTAGATTCCCTGCTCTGAAGAATTTTTTCTTTCTTTAATTCCTTGTGTGTCACAGGCTGGTTGTCATTAAAATTTTGCAAATTTTTTTGCTGCAGATATCAATACGGAAATATTCACTTTATACTGCTAATACTCCAAAACTTTTCAAAGTTGACTGTGACCCTGATAATTCCTGGTTTTGGAACGGTATTTTTAAATTTACTAAGAATTTCAGGTATTTCCATTTTCCTGACAGAGGGGCTCTAGATATTTCCATATCAGTATCAATTCAAGCCAACTACAATCACCAAGGCAACAAAAAGATTTTAAGCTTGCAAAAATTCAGAAAAATATGTTAAGGTTTGCCTAGGGTATGCTATGAGTCATACTCTTCAAGTTAAGGCCTTCTAGCATTTTTTTTCCTTAAATTTTTTGGGCCAAACTTGGCATTTATTTAAACGTAGATACCGATATGAAAATATTCCTTTATTTAGAATTTCTAATAATTGATCATAATGCAAATTAAAGTTATCAACTGTAAGTCGCTAAACTATTTTTATATCAATTTTCATTGAAAATAAGTTCTTAAAATCAAGCATACCAATAGGCAAATTCTCAATAAGCCTTCTGATGATCTGAAGTAGCTATTATGCCATTCTACAAGAACAGCAACTGTTTCAGGTTGTTCACTGCTCACAGAACTAGGTGTTCTTCTAATGTTACCATCAGTTACACATTCAACCTCACTAACTTCTTCTAATTCATCTAATGAAACATTTCTCAGAGTAGATTCCTCAACAAAATGTCCAAATACACCTTTATTTTGCCGCGATATGTTCTCCGTTAAATGATCACCTTTTACTACTTCTCCAGAATTTACCTGTGAGAACACGTTCATTTCATTACCTTCCATTTTAATAAGTTAAAGAAGTCGTTACAGTTTCCTTATTGTGCATATTTTTAAAGTTATCAGAAAAAAAATACAGTTTTATTATTAATGAAAGATGAACAGTGAATTCAATAAAACGAGAAATAAGCAGAAAAAAAAGTAAACAAATAAATAGGGAGAAGTTATAGTATATGTTGTAATAAAAGTAGCAAACTTTTATTTATCAGCGTTAAATAAAATTAGTACTTAAGAACATTTTAACAGTTTTATAATGATTTTTATAAATTATAATAGCTAAATTAAGTCTGAAACTTCAAAAACATATCCTTAATAAAACATATTGTTGCATCATGCATTAGCTGAAACAACTTTACTCGATGATTGTAGTCTGCATGTTTAGGTTTAGATTTTCGGCCTCCTGAAGTTTTGCTATGTAAACTGTCAAGTTTGTTATCTATTCATACATATTTTCGAGTTTCCTTTTCATACAGCAAAATAAAAAACATGTCTGAAAAAGACTATGCCCCCTTGAGTACTTATTGTGTTCGTGCACTTAATGATAAGCTATATGAAAAGAGAAAAACTGCCGCACTTGAAATCGAAAAGTTAGATTCATTAATTTTCTTAATTTTATATTTTTATTTATTGATTCTAAAATTTTATTTAATTTCATAAAACTATTTCAGGATGGTGAGAGATTTTCTTCGAGTTGGTGAAATAGGGGAGATACGAAAATTACTCCGTGTTTTAGGACAAGATTTTACTCGGTCTCAAAACATCAATAGCCGGAAAGGTGGTCTTATTGGTTTAGCAGCGACAGCCATAGCATTAGGAAAAGTAAGAACGTTCATTAAAATATGACTAGTTTTTGTATTTTTCTTTGGAGTATTTATAATGGAATGTTTTTATTAAAAATAAAATTCATTTGGGTGGTATGCATACATTACAAGCTAAATGTTTAAAATTTTCATGTGTAGTTCTACCAATCCTTTTCTAGATTTTCCAATAAATGATTGTAAGAATTCCAAAAATTCAAAAAAGCTACAGTAACGAATAGATTAAACACATTACTACATATTCTTTGCTTAATAAAATATTATTTAAAAACATTTTTTCTAACATTAGCTTCCATTAGAGGATAGAATTTTAACTATTTATAACAACTAAATTATAACACTAAATGAATTTATAATCAGAAAATTGTTTAAAGAAAAAAAACCTAGTAAGAAAATCATAAATTTTTATGTATGAAAACAGTAAAAATTTCTTAAATAATCTCCGCTTCGAATAATTTAACTTTAAAAATTAACGTTTCATATAACCTTGTTCATTATTTTAAATGTAAGGGCATGATGATCTAGATAGCTATTAGAATGTTTTAATTTCTTTTTTTCATCATTTAAATATAGAGTGTGTTCTATAAAGTAACTATACAATAGAGCTCATAGCAACTTGTCGTCTATATTTCAAGTATATTTATTTAACCACCCTCAGGACAACTTTGTGATTCATGACTTGTACTTTAAAATTTTCACTTTAAATATCTTTCCCATAGTGATACCATAAATTTTAACTCTTCTTTTTCCTTACAACTAAATCATCAAAACCAATCATTAAACTTTATTTTAATCCAAGTTTGCTACAAAACTTACATTTTAAATCTAATCAGTCATTTTTAATCCTTTGGTGTTTTCATTAATGCTAAAAATTACTTAAATTTTTATGTGTCATTAAAAGAAAATAGGTTAGCACTAAATAATGACTTTCTTTTAGGACACATCCATGTATGTTGATGAGCTTGTACAACCTTCACTCTCCTGTTTCAATGATCAAGATAGCCGTGTTAGATATTATGCTTGTGAAACTCTCTACAATATCGTGAAAGTAGCCAGGGGTTCTGTTTTACCATATTTTCCTGACATATTTGATGCCCTTAGTCGGGTAGTAATTATTTTCTTTTTTAACCAAAACGAAATATTTTCACAAAACTTTTAATTAAATTTTGTTTTTAAATATTTTATTAATTTGTTTTGCATATTCTGGTTGAAGTAGCTTTCTGCTGATCCAGATCAAAATGTCAAAAATGGATCTGAGCTAGTTGATAGACTAATGAAGGTAAGACATAAGTTGTTATCTTCAAATTATATATTCACATTTAATACCAATTCTGTGTTATCTTATTTTTTGTACTACATTGTTTCATGATCAGGTAGAAAATTATATTAAACTATAAATTGTGCAAAGATGCAGAAAACTGCATGATTAACAATTGTCTCCATAATCCCTGTCTGTGTTTAATTTAATTATTATTTCTTTTTTTTTCTTTTTTTTTTTTTTAATTTTCAGTAAAATTTCTTTATTTAGCAAATAAACTTCTCCTAATGGTTTTCCCTCCCATGAATTTTCAGCTTCTTTTTCAATTCTATGAATCCTCTTTGAAATTTATCCTTAACTATCTCCATATCCTATGGGGATAGTCAACCAGCTTCAAAATTTCATGGAAGCTGATCAAAGTTTTGATCTAGAAAAAAATTTCTACTTAAAATATTGATGTCATCTTTGCGTTCAAAAATGTTCTAGAAATGTTCTATCTAATAAACCTGAATAATCATAACCTGTTACTGGCAAATTTTTATGAAAAAACACAAGGTTTGAAAGACTGTTCACCTTTTGAACTGACTCCACTTCAATTTATTAATTGCTAAGGTGCTGAACGTGCGAGCTAAATTATTATCTTTTCTGAAATAGTCCCGCAGTGGACTGATCGTTAAGACACAGTTCCCAGCAGATCACCGAAGTCAAGCATCACTGGCTACGGTCAGTGTGCGGGTGGGTGACCACTTTGATCAGTCTGCGTAGGGACCGAGGGTGTGCGTTATTGGTCCTCGTTAAACTGTGCTACCGTAAAGTGCTCGACTTCGTGCGCGCAGGTCGTCGGGCTACCGAAGCGGGGGTGCCATCCCGTCCGCAGAGGAGCAAAATTGTGATGGCATGTCTTCGGATCCTCCTCCGGGATGTTTCCCAGACCGTCGCCAATAGCCCATTGTGCAGCTCTAGTGCGACGTAAATTAACAACAACAGCATTTTCTGAAATAATTGAAAAATAATAAAAAATAGAAAAGCTGTCTTTTTTTTTTCTTTCAAATTTAACTTTTTTTCTGTTTTAGTTGTTAAGTTATCTTAAACCCCTGCACATAAGTTTAAAAGCGTTTCTGTATACCTTCGAGTAAGAGAGGAAAGAAACTTTTTCCCCCCAAGTTTATCCTTTACTGGGAGAGTCTGATAAATGTGACTAATTCTTAATTACCCGTCTCGCTAGGTGGTATTCTTTCACCTGAAATTCTTGTATCTATTTTCTCCTCTTTTTGGAGTACTTATTTTTCCAAAAATGTGTTTTTGAAAAACTGATAAGGGGAGAGTTTTAAACTTCCATTTTTTTAAAAAAAAATTTATTAGATCTTAAATTTATTATAAAAGCAATATTGGTTTTTGATTCATTCCTTCTGTATAAATTTGTATTATTTAATAGCTTTTTGTCTCTTGTTTTTTAAAAAATATTATCGAAAAAAAATTGTTGTGAATAGAGTGGAGTGAACTACACTGAATGAAATTGAAACAATGACGTAAAAATTTCGTAGTACATCGATATACTATAAAACCTCACGAAACGGCTGTATTACTTTCTTTCTTTTTTTTCAAAATAAAATGTAGCAGACTAATTAGTAGGTTAAAAAAATGAATGACGTTTGTCTGACCGTGAGTTATGGTGAAATGCAAATGTAAAATATCCATTTCAGCGTAAGGTAGACCGATTACAAAAACATATTAAGGGACTAAAGGAGCTTGGAAGCACCAACATCCATTACAACTTTCTGGTACATTTCTGATAACCAGAGTGCGGTTCATGGATTTGAAACTTCAAACTGGTTTTGATGTTTTCATTCCCTATTTCTCTGTTGGGATTTGCTAGATTTTTATACTGTTTTTCTTTTTTCATTGCTTGATGATTAATTTGTGCACAATTTTTTTAATGACTTCAACGATTCTAAAGCAATAATAGAAACTTTTTGCATTGTTAAATAATCTATTCTGTGATAAGTATTTAACAAGTTTTTAAAGTAATTAATGATTAAATGTTAAAAAAATGAGTTTGTAAACGAAGCATATTAGATGGATGGCTGTATTTGAAAGAAATAAATGTGGATGAAATATTTGAATTGTAATTGAAAGAAAAAAATTTAATTGATCAAAGTTTTACTTTCACATAAGAATGTTTCACGAATCAGCAAATCAGTTTAGATAATTTAACAACCTTTATTTGATTTTTAAGCTAACATGAAAACTATTTTTAAATGAATAATTACTTTAAACAAATGACATTTATATGACTGCATAGTAAGGTTTCATAAATTTACATACTGAAATTATTATTAGTTTAAATTTTCAACATAGTAATTGAATCAAGATATAAGAATATGCATGTTAAATAAAATGATAAAACCATTTTGAAATAGTAAAGCTGTTTCGGAGTTTAAAAATATATTTTATAGTTTTTTTGTGAGTGAGTAAAAAACATACACAATGTATTTTCTTGCCTTTTTTTAAAGAAAATCGGCGCACACAGTGGGCAATCCCCTTACCTATGACTGTGGTCAGTCAATTAGTACAGGTAACTCAGCTTAGAAGTAGGGGAGGTAGAAGGATGAGTTTTCAATTTTACAGCTTTGAATTATCACTATCTCAGAGTCGTGAGTACGCAAAAAAAATTACTCGACTGTTACGGTAGTTCCGAAAGGAAATTAAAACGCCTGTCTCAAATAATAGTACGCCATGATCATTTTTAGATCATAATTAGAAGTCAAGAATTTTGAATTGAAATAATCATCAAATAATGCTTATATTATGTATATCCTTTCATTATTTTTTTTTAATTTTAATTTCTGTGGATAATTTTCACACCACTGCCTTCTAAGTTAACTTCTTATATGATTGAAATAGCAAAAAAAGCTTTGAAATTTTAATATAAAAAATAAAATTAAAAATAAATTCGAAATTTTTTTAATAGTTTAAAAAAATCTTTCTTGAACAGGTATAGGCCCTGTAAAATCCTCGGAATGCAGAGCTCAGGGCAAATGCATTGTTTGCTCTACTCTTATGTTGGCATCAACAGTTAAAAATATGCATTATGCAATGCTTTTTTTGCTTCCCATTTCCATATACAGTTTTAATGATTTCTTCTTTTTAGGATATAGTGACTGAAAGTTCATCATTTGATCTTGTAGCATTTATGCCATTATTGAGGGAAAGAATTTGTTGCAAGAATCCTTTTACTCGACAGTTTATTATATCATGGGTATAAATACACATATTTCTTACTATATTGTCACTTTCGATACTTTTCTGTCACTTTAATTTTCAAATTGCACTCGATTCATTTATCATTTTTGTTACGTAATTTTAAACTGGCTTTAATTCATATTTTCTAGCATCTCTCAAAATAGATCATATAGATTTATTTAGTATGGTAAAACTAAATCATTGTGGAATTAAATTATATGTATGAAAAATGTTGTGAAAGTACTTATAACTTAGTACTTTTTGTTGTTGTTGTTCTACTTATGTAAATTTCATTTAAAAAAAATTAGCTATGTAATTTTTTTTTATCTTCAATAAATTCTGTAGCTTATATAATTTATAAGTGTTATAATTTTTGTTTCAACATAAACTTATTTCTTATTTTATTACTTTAAATTCTGTAACTAATTAACTTATTTAATTTATGTAATAACTTTAAATAATTCCTTAATTTAATTTTTAATACAGTCAAACTTCGATTCACTGTTCCTGTATATTTTGTTTTCCTGTATGTATCGCCTTATTTTAACATTACTGTCGTTAATGCTATTCTAATATTGTTTTTGTTAAATAGCCGGCAGAAATTATATTGACTTTTAAGGAAAATATTGAAGTTAGTTTGTTTGGGGAAGAAAATATTAACTCTTGATGCAATTGATGACGAAAAAAATGAGGATTTGTTTCAGTTTGGAAAAAACATCTCAAGCAGTATAATTCATGTTTATGCATCAGTTGATGAAAATGCGAAACTTATAGTGTTGTAGATTCAAGAAATGATTTCAGAAACTGAGGAAGTACTAAATTGTTCCAATGACGACAGCAAAATGGAACCAATACCAGGGCCAACATTTGAAGGAGAATTTGAGACGTTTAAAATAATGGGGATTTTTCTGTATAACGCGTACTTACAGAAAATGAAGAGCAATCTGTCACAATTGTCAAAAATTTATTGTTTGCGCTGAGGAAAAAAAAAATGTGTTCATATCAAAATTTCCAAGCATTTTAAATGATTAAATGTGTTCATTCCAACTGAATTTTTTATATTTGTTTCAAAGTTATTAGTTTTCAACGTCCATTACTTATTACATATTTTCATTTTATGTTTATCTATATTCGTCTTTTTCCAGTTTACATCAGTTGCAATGAAGGGTTCCATAAGAAATGATTGATTGAGTTTCTACTATATTTTAAGTGCATGTATTTTCCACTTTCCGTGTTATAATAGACTGCGTGAAATTAAAAAATAATATTTGCTTATCTTTTAGAAACTTCTTCCTTTTTTTTCTAGGTTTCAACTTTGGATTCTGTTCCAGACATCAACATGCTTGTCTTTTTACCTGAAATCTTAGACGGTTTATTTGTGATTTTAGGAGACCCATTAGCCGAGATCCGCAAAATGTATGATTTTTGAGAACTGAAAGATTGATATGTTTATTATACTTAATGTTGATTGAATGTTAATACGGATTATAGTTATACTAATAATATCATTTAATTGTACGAGCTATTTTCCCTAGTTTTGTTTGTTTTTTAAACTTTTTTAAATCTGCATTTTAAAACTATTTTAAATTGATCTATACGTATTTTAAATCTATCTATTATGTTGGATTTTAAAGCTATTTTGAAATTCTATGAATCTAATAGTATGCAGTTTAATATTCTTGGGTTTTTAATTAGAAGGGAGTTTATGTAGTTATGAATAAGAAAGTAAAAAATGTTATAGTGAAAATTTTTACGTAACCATAATATTTATCTATGTTTTCTATCTATTATGTTGGTTTTTAAAACTATTTTAAATTTATTTATCTGCTATGAATCTGTGTATTAGTATGCAATTTAATTTTCTTCAGTTTTTAATTAGAAATGGGTTTATGTAGGTTTGAATAAGAAAGTAAATAATTTTATGGTAAAAATTAGTTTTACTTATCCATAATATTTATCTATGTTACATGTCTTTAATTTATGATATCTCTTTTTATAAACCGAAAACAAATCAATCTCTTAATGCATTCTAAAACATTAAGTTGCATTTCTAAATATAGAATTACCTTCAAATGTACTCCTTGCATCTTTTTAGGTGTGAATCTGTGCTTGGAGAATTTTTAAAAAGTATAATTGAAAATCCACGAAGAGTCAATTTTAATGATATGGTGAACATCTTGACAATTCACGCAAATTCAACAGGTACATTTGTTTTTTTCATAATTTTTAATGTTCTAATTTCAAGATTTATAGTGTTTAGAATAACAGTTGTTTCCTCATTTCAGAAGAGTTAGTTCAGTTCACTGCTCTCACCTGGTTGAAGGAGTTTGTAAGACTTGCTGGCTGCACTCTTTTACCATATTCATCTGGTATACTTACCGCTGTACTTCCGAACTTAGCCCAAGATACAGAAAGTAGAAGAAGTATCCTTTTTCTTAAATTTGTACTAAAAACTTATTAGTATAAATTAAATTTGTTAAGTAAAATTATTTGATATGACAACAAATATTTTTTTTCTTTTAACTGATGTTAAGAGTCCTCTTTAGACAGAAAGAGAATTTTACTTTGTCAATTGACAAAAAATTTTATGAATGTAATTTATTTATTCGAAAACTTATTAATATTTTTCTTTCATTTTATTCATTGAAATGTGTTCTTTTGAACCTAGTTAATAAATATCATGGTTTTAACAACATACATTAAGAACACTACTGTAATGTACACAATGAATAAAGTAAAACAAATATTCTAAAATTTCAATTAGTTTTGTTTAAATAATGGAATTTATTCAGTACTAATTAATTCTTTTTCTGCTATCTAATTCTTTGTTGCAATAATGTACAAAAAGAAAAAAGTGAAATTAATTGTAAAAAAAAAAAAGTTAAAATAATTGTAAAAAAAAAGGAAGTTAAAATAATTATAAAAGTATTTCCTTCTTTTTTTTACATTTCATCCAATCTATTTTACTCTTATCACTTAGTCATTTAACTAGAAACTTATTCTTATTTTAAAAGAATTGCATTAAAAATATTATCTTCATGAATTATTTAGTATTTTTATGTGTTTATAAAGTAAATAGTCAATCATTGAATTAAGATACTTGATATACTATCATTACTAAAAAGATAAAATAAAATTTAAAGTTCAATCTTAATTATAATACTATTTTTCATATAATTGATTCTCAACCTGTTGCAATTTTAGATAAATAATTTTTTATAGTTTGGAAAAAGAAATGCATTCAATGATTTGACTTCGAAATTATTGTCTGCATAAAACTTACATTAGTTAACCTTTGTTAAGGATTTACTTTCTCATTTTTGTTTGAATTATGAAATAATAATGTAATAAGTATATTGTATTTTTTTCAAATTTACTTGGTTTCAAGTTCTTAATGAATTAAGATATAATCGAGACAGCTAAAACTGTAAACAGTGATCTTATGAAATTGGTTGTTCAGCAAAAGCAACAACTTACTTGTGAAAGTGCTGATGATGCAGCGTTAGCCGATAAAATTGAAGCTCCTTTAATGGATCAGCTTGATAACCAACTAGACTTAAAGTCATTGGTTATTGTTTTAACAAAACAAATTAAATATGATTCCATACAAACTCGCATTGCTGTCTTGAGGTGGATACATCATTTGCTAATACAGATTCCAGATAAGGTGCACATGTCTTTTATTTTTATTTTTTAATTATACAGTACAGAAATCAGTATGCGGAAATCAGAAAACAGGAAAACCAAAAAACCGGAACGAAGTTCGATAAATTTTCTCGCCATTTAAAAAAAAAACCTTTTTTTTCCTCATAAGATTTTACGATTTTTCTTTCTTTTTTTAAAGATGTTTACCTTACCATCATTTTGGAAATAATCATTAGTGTATTACTTCATCGTTTTTTCTTATTTTTAAGATTATTTCCAAATTTCTTTTTATTTTTAGTTGGGTTTAATAATAAAAAAACGGCTTTTTGTAGCAATTCAGAAAGCCGAAAAAATCAGTTATCCGGAATAGCGATGGTCCCAACCGTTCCGGATAATCGGTTCCCTACTGTACAAATATTTCATTGATTAAATTGTTAAAAATCAGATAAAATGTTTTTGACTCATTATAAAACAAATTTTCTTGTAGAATTTCTCATGATTCATTGAAATTCTATGCTAGATCAGAATAAATCCATTATTGCTCCATTAGGTGAAAAAATAGTGTTTTTTATGAAGTTCAATATAATATATGATATAATAGTACATTAAGTAATTGGTTTGTTAGATAAAGAATGTTAAGCTGAATGTGTCTTTTAAACTGGATCTTATTTAGTATGCACTATTATATATAAGTCGACAAAATACTTTTACTTTTAATTTAGTTTATGCCTGATAAAAAATGTTATTGAAAGATTAGGGAGCAAAATAATACATAATATTAAATATTCTCTTTTAAAATGCTGTTTGTGTTTTTAATTTTTTATAGAAATGGCAGTTTCATTGTTTTCAAAAATTATATATATATATATATATAACACTTTAGCGGATATAATTGTGTGGGCTGAAGAAAAGATTATATCTTTTTTTTTCCGGCTTTTTTTCCGGTTTTTTAATTAACATTTCACTTTTTTTTTTTTTTTTTTTTTTTTTTTTTTTTTTTTTTTTTTTACTTATTATTTCCCACCCCCTTTTTTTCATATGTCTATAATTTTTCTTTGTTTTATTCTTCATTTTGAACTTATCTAATGAGTGCTGTTTACTTGCAGCTTAAGCGCAATAAATGTTACTTATTGTTTTTCTTAACTTTCTTAGTGTTTTCTTGTATTTATTTAT